AAGATAATGTTTGCAAAGAGCTCAGATACTGCAGTGACAAGTGTAATAGAATGACGTCCAAAGAAATTAGAAGTCTGTCTTTGCACCAAACAAAATAACAAAATGACTGGATTATTACAAAATGACATAATGACTGGATTCTTACTAAACGAATTACATCAAATGGTGCTTTGAATAAGGGATAGATTTTCTGAGAAGGAAAGTAGGATTCTGGAGTAATAAACCTCACAACATGTACCCACTTTTCAGGCAACATTTAATCTGGCATACTCCAACTTCTGAGTTACTGACTTTGCAGACATAACTTGCTTTAAATCTAAATGTTGTTGTTATTGCCTCTTTTGTATTTTTGTATGCTCAATGTATTAAAAGCTTGACTTTTTATTCTGCTGTTACAGCCTCCTTGTGGCACCAGTAACAACTCTTTAGGAGTTTGAAGAAGTGATTAAATAACACACAGAAGATGTCAAATGATACTGTTAAGATGATTGACTTCTAAATGCAAAATAAAGGCAATTGAGAGTGATTACAGGAGCTAATCATTTTAGGCTTGCCTCTGAAAAATGCACCTTCGTTTACAATTGAAAACAAATGCTATTTTTACTGTTTAGTATTCATGTAGGTACATTTAGCCTGTTGACTAGAAAAGATATTATAACATAAATACTATCTTAAAAATTTGCTCTTTACTAATATCTTGGTGTTTGCAATATATATATACATTTAGATTCACAGGGGAAGTAATATGGCTCTCTTTAGTATTTCATGTATAAATTTACTCAGCAGATTTGTTTTATTAAAATGTAAATAACGGAATATGGTAAATGAAAAATCCAAGAAGGGAATAAACAGATTATTTATCGTTAACGCTCAGAGTAGCTTATTGAAACATACCTTTTAGTAACTGCCACTGAATATTAGCTATGAAATTCTCACCATGCTTTGAATGTCACCCATTAGATTTAGCCATTTGTATAGTTAAAAGGCTCAAAATGCTTCAAATATACCTTTAAAAACATTGTTATCTCAAATCTAACTATACATATTCACAAAAACTGCATTCAGCATGTCTGAGATTCAACCTGGTATTGCTTCGAATTAATTATTCTTCTTGAATTGCTCTGTATAAACAGAAATGACCTATTAATTTAAAGAAAATCTATCAGCACAGAATGTATTCTCTCTTATAAACAAGCAAGATGAACTTGACCTTGTTTGAACTTGTTTTGATGTGGCCCAGATGGTAGGCTACATGCTTGAATAGCAGTCTAAAGCTGAGGAAAAACTCATATAGCAAGATCGAGATTTATAGCCTTTTGCAAATTCCTACCTTGTATTGTCCTTTCAGCATCTGTTCTGCCCCCGCTGCGGTCAGCTTCTATCTCTGGGGTCAGAGAGTCTAGAAACATAGAAAGGTAAGACTGACACATATTTCATTTGATTCTTATAGCCCTTTTTACAACCTGTTACTCCAATGCTGAATTACAATACAATCAACCTTTGTCAGTTTTTTTAATGTTGAACAATGACTGGAGGCCAGGACAATTTTTTGTTAGACTAGGAAGATTAATGAGCAATAGATTTTTCAAGCATAAAGGGGCGAAGAAAAAGAAGAAGAAAAAAAATTGACTTCTCAAGCTAATAATATAAAATTGTCCTAGTTTGGACATGCTCTCCAGAGAGTTTATTTGCACATACTATATAAAGTTACAAAACAATAAAGAGAGAGGCATCACTTGAGAGAAGGAAAGAAAAGATATTTTCTTTTTTTTCCATCCCATCATGTTATAAATTTTCAATATAACCAGCTTCTTTTGGTGCTTAAATTGAAAGTTAATGACACAGAGGCAAAAATTGGTTTCTTACCATTTAGGACCCTGAGACTATCTGTTGAAGCTGCCTGTTTCAGTGTCTGTTCTGCTTGCTCCCGTCGTTTAGTCTCAAACTCAAGTGCTTCCTGCAATTTCCTCTTTGCCTTCTTTTCCTTCTTTAGCCTTTTCTGAATTATTGCTAGGAAAAAATAAAAACAGCGCACTTGAATTTGGATCTGTACCTTGGCTACATGATTACCTATTAAAAGTCCCGAGAAATTCTACAACTGAAACAGTTCATATAAAATTGATTAATTATAAAATACCGATTTAAATTACGTGAAATTTGCTGCAATCACATTGGGATATCCTAAAAGCTGCTGTTCTTTACCACGGTACTGAAAACAGTAGGTGATATTCAGGTATAAAGTTTTTTTAAAAAAAAAAACAGATGAGAATCTGTGAATATCCAAATCAGAAAACCTCGGAACCAGCAACGAAATGTACTTTTTGCATTATCTGACGTAGATATGCCTCTGTATCCGGAGGCGAGGTGTTTTTTTCAGGATGAAGCCTACCATTTCGTCATTGCCCGCAGCACACAGTTAGCATGCACACAGTGATGAAGCCCTCGCCTGCCTGCCTGCCTGCAGCTTCTCTCCCACCAGAGGGAGACGGGCTGCTTGGGTGCCCAGGCTGCTGGAGGAGCTCAGCCCCCACCCTACTGTGATCCTCATTCCTTAGGGAAAGGCCCTGAGCTTTCTAACTCCCCTTCAAGCCGCTGCTTCCTTCAAGCCATCTGACCTCTTGGTCTTTTCCCGATATTTATTTTTTATCCACTTTTCTCTTTGTTTTTCCTTTTTCTCTTTCTTGCTCTCTGTCGGCTCCTGTCCCATCAGCCAACTAACCTTGAAGAACTCATAGCAAATCCTTTACAGTGCTGGATCCCTCAGCCAAGCAAATATTACTTTGCTTTGTCAAATGTGAGGGAAAATATAAGGAAAGGAAGGAGACTAAACATTAGAAGATCCTAATTTAGAAAAATGTTTCCCTTGTATGTCTTCAGTTCAAATTTGGCAAGGAAAAGGATTGCAAAATTAGGATGAAACTCCATCACAATTTTCTTTTGTATGTTACCAGTAACTTACAATCACAAAAGCAAGACTTGCATGATCCCTAACTGAAGGAACATATCACAAGTTACGTTCCTAATGGAAAAGGATAACATGAACCAAATTTTCTACTCGATAAAAGGCAAAGTGAGCCTCTAAAGAAGACATCTGAAGTCACAGAACATATCATTATCTCCCCCACCACACCTCAACCCTTCTTACATAGCACATTTAGGGTTTTCAGGGATGCATATGTAAGAAGCTTATTTCTCATAGGATCTTCCTGGATAATCCTTTCCTGGAGAGTCTGTTATTTTGACACTAACTAAAAAATTATCTACTAAACTACTCACTAACGAATTCTTTACACACACTAAAAGAAAAAACCTTACTAAAATCAGATACTAGGTGATACTAGGTTTGACTGTCAAGATCTATCTAGCCCTGTATCACACTCCAAAGTAACCTCTGGTACATGCCTAGGGGTGAATGCTGGAAAAGGTAAAAATATACTTTCACCAGTTCATACTCCCCATTTCCAGTAGTCTGGTATGGTGATACCTTTCACAAAATGCAATTAATGAAATTTTTAAGGGAATCGTCATTGTTATTACTATTTAATGAATATGCTAAGAAAAATCACTTTTTGGGTGATCCTGGATATTTTGTGTTGCTATACAGAATTGTTCAGACACGAAATGAATACAAACACATACTCTGTAGTCACAATAGCTACATAATTTGCATCCGAGACTTTGGAATTTTGGTTCTTTCTCATTTTGTATAGTACCAACTACTTTACAGGCTAATTAGCTTATACTATCAACGAACGTCTAGTATCTATACACAGGCTAAACTAAATACATTTTGAATCATTGCATGGTTTTAATGTTTTCATTATAAGTACTTTGAAAGTGATTACAATAAATGAGAAGGAAACATATGTTGCTTTCTGAATTAAAATGTCATCATGGCTGACACATTGTGGATGTGACTACAGCAGTCAGAGCCAGAATTAGCAAGCCCTTACTGTGTAGCTGCTCACAGAAGAGATATTATCCTACTTTCACCAGTTGATGAGACACATCCTACAGTCTTAGGAATCACTAATTGGAATACTTAGAAAGAAGGAAGGAAAGAGTACAGTAAATAAGCAGCTCTGTAGAACATACAGTAGCAGCAGTGAATTTAATGTTCCAAATAATGGCAAAAACATTCAGACATAGCCACTAAAGAAAAAGATATTTGGCTTGCGTTAACATGATGAGCGAAAGATAGATGTTGCCTAACCCTGAAGGTCCCATTCACCTAATGGGTTTTGACTTGCATGTGACACAGTGATTCGTGTTTCCACACTTTTAAGTGTATTTCAGTTTTTTCATATGGTATCTCTCAACAGGGATATGGCGCACTTCTCCCATCTTGCTCACAATTCCATTAACGCATCTGAAACTTTAAGACATGACACTTGTTATCTGGAAAACTAACAGCAGGTAAAGCCTCCTATGTATTTTTCTACCTTTAATTGAAGAATAAATTCTCACAATAATTACAATCTGGCCTTATTTTTTCTCTCCTACTTGGATCTGTTCATTTGAAAGAATAATCCATTGCTCTTCTTTCTTTTGTAGAGAAGTATCCACTAGCAGAGACAATCCTCCTCATTATATTTGCTTTGCAGTATACCACCATTAAATGTTCAAATCTGTTCCTCTTTGTTCAACTCTTTTACCAGTGCAATATCATCATTAGAGGGATACATATGAAAAAGCAGGTAATGCATCATGCTGAAAATAACATTGTCAATTATTTCCGAACTCTGAACAAAATAAGGAACTATCCCATGCTCTTTCCTGACACACAACTTGGCATGAAATTAATTTTGCTTAATTTTAACTGCGCAAAACATATGTGTCTAGTCTAGCCTAGCCAACTATATTCCCTCTGGAATTAAAGGGAAGAGAAAAAAGTTTTCAAAGTGTAATTGACTCCATCTACCTGTCTGAGAACAGGATATACGAATCTCTTCTTTTATTGACCAGAAAGGGAGCTTATATTAACTTAAATGAGGTGGTTAAATTCTAGATGGCAAAACTCAAGCAAGCTCAGATGGGTCCCCCCCTCCCTTTTCTGTTGTGCATGTGATTGCCTAACTCTAAAAAGGTACATATATTTGAGTAATTGTGAGACAGACAGGCAGAAGGATGCAAATAACTGAGCTCTTTTACAAAACTACTTTAAAAGTGCAAGTAGTGCAATTGTACTGAGCAAAATAGGCCAGTTGTGGACAAAGGGATGATTCATTGCACAGCTGTGATAATTGTTAATAGCAATTGTCTTTAAAAATGTATTCTCAAAAGTTAAAAAAGGGAAAATAGTGAAGTTACAGTCCTACCCCCTTTAACGGGTCAATGAAAAAGGACTACACAGTGTACTTACTCACAGAATGTTAGTTAAAGGTATAATGATACTGGTTGTGAATCTCAGGATTCACAAAAGTGAAGTAAAGTGTTCTCAGGATTCCCCATTTAGCTGGTTCCCAGAAAATTAAACTGGACAAGAAGAGAGTTTTAACTCTGTATATAAAGCATCACTCTAGCAAAAATACATATCTGACTTGCCATGGTCTGTGTTAACCAACAAGTGAACCCCAGAGGTTAACTGTCCCTTGCAAAACAATTAGACACCATTAAAGGGCAAGCCATACATATACAGAAAAATGGAGCCATAAAGCACGACGGGAACATGCTTGTAATGTAAATAGTTAATGCAAATCACTGTAAACTGCCTTACCTTTACTATCAGTGTTTTAGAATGGTGTACTGAAACAATATAATGAAATTATTTTAAAATCTTTAGCATGTATATGCTTTACAGTAGGATGATGTTAATGTCTGAAATGCTACTAATGTTACTGCCTTATCAACAAGAACCTTAGCTGCTCCTTCTACAAATATGTTTTTGATCTACTGTGCATTATAAAGGACATATATAATACCAGTATCTTTACTTTTGTTACATTTATTACATACTGTTTGCCTAAATATGCAATATATGACCCTAGCACATAAGAATAGAGATGTGTTCCTAAAACATTGCAGATTCTTAAATTTGATAGAAGTTGTCTTTGGATTAAGTAGTTATCCTTTTTCATAATGATCACAACCTGCTGAAGTCCATAACAGCACCTATGGTATTTGTAATTGTGTTGTGTATTACTGATGTAACAAGTAATATTGAAGAAAAACATTGAGAAAAAGGAAGATCCTTGTTCTAAATCTTATTAAGATATTATACAGACTCAAGCAAGTTGTAAAAATTCCTGCATTGCTGTCAGCCTGGACATAACATGAGGTAAGGGGCAAAAGTTTTGATAAAATACAGGTGTTTGATAAAAAACTAAGTTTCCTAAGGAAATAAATTACAACACATTTATATCTGCTAAATTAAGATACCTCTGTTCTTCTGCTCCACAGCCAACTGTTTTTCAAGTGTTTCCCTCAGTTCTCGTTCCCTGAAGAGCTCCATCTTCAGCTCTGTCTTTTCCAGTTGGACCTGTTTCTCTTGAGCTCTGGCATTGTCTATAGCAACCTTTAGTAGACCCTGTTCAAAGATAAAGTTTGATAATGTTTGATGAATGTTAGAAGAGCTGACAAAATAAATAACTTCTGTTTTTTTTCCTTGATTGGTCATGTGAGATTTTGCAAATGAAATAATATTGTTACTGGCTCAAAGTCTTACAATTATCAATAGCAAATTTTTACTGGAATTAATTTTAACAGGTGGGCAAAGATCCGTAAAAAGCCAAGACTCAAGTTTTCCCAGAAAACATAATCTCACCTTTCACTGTGCATATAACTAATGTGAAAAAGTTATAGGGATAGGTTTATTCTTTATAAGAGATAAAAGAGACAAACCTACATCAGGCACTTCTCTGTGACCAAAACAAAAAGCTGTCCCACTTATAAAGAACTGGCAGTGTCACAATCACATCATCCACAGAACGACAAATTCAATCTCTAGCACAACTCAAGCCAACAGAAAGTATCAAGGGGAGAAAGGTTCTTTCAAAAGCTTGATATTTTGTTCCTTATTGTTGTTAATTATTATTATTTTCAGTTATTTTCATATTCCATATAGTTTCCAAGGAAGACAGGGTTACTGGCATGCTAAGTGGAGGACAGTCACAAAGTAGGAAGGTATCTCTGTTTTAAAAAGTCCATTCCCTGACCTTGTACAACTGTTATCTCCCAGCAGAGAACAAAACACAATCATGTCTCAGTTTCTTGACTGGGGATGGTTGAAATAAACTCTACCGTTTTTTGTTGTTATTTTATCAGGAAATAATTACTCAGCCTATTCTAAACTTTTCTTGAGAATTTCAACTTCGCAAGTCCCTTTTTGCAAGGAAACAGGAAGATCCTGGAGCAGATAATAACTAGATAGTTAGGACATGGAGACAGGGTATGAAAAAGAGGAGGAGAAATAGAATTGAAATAAATGAACGTGGAAAGATGGAAGATTTCCTTTTCCATTTTGCAGAGGCCTGGCCATCAGGCACTTATGTCTACACCTGAATCTCTCCTCTTGAAGCTATCATAACAGACTAGATAATTAAGCATAGATACGCATCTATGAACCTCCATGGATACCAACCTAGCTCTTCTGTATCCTAGGCAAGTCTCCTGACTACTTGACTGTAGAGATAATTTGACCCAACTGAGATTGAATTACTCATATAAAGCAAAATTATGCCAACAAGAGCGACTGAAGAGTACTCCCCAACAGCAGTGTTAGAGAAACATTCACTAACAGATAAAATGTTCACACTCAAGACCTGGTTTCAGAAAAACCATACTACAGACATGAAATCATGTCCCCCAGCTCTCACGGAAGTTTCCTCACTAGTCAGGCACACTTCCTAAATTGGATTCTGGGTTCCATGTTTTGTCACTAAAATTCTTTGAAACATCTCCAAAAAGGAATGGAAAAAAGAAGTCAATATGATGATACTTGAGAACTGAAAAAGTATTTCTCATGAGTGTTAGTCTGCACGTTTATCTCATTAGTCTTCCCAATGTCAATGCCTGCTTTGAAATTTGTGTCCTTCAAACTCCTCTTTTAATTCTGTTTTCGGAGCCTGTTATTTTCAGTACTCCTCATCCTCATTCTTAACTAAATTGTTGCCTCAAGTGTTGTCTCATTCAGAGCTTAATGCTTTGCAGCTCTATTACACTTCAATCTATTAAAGTCCACAGGAGCTGAAAGAACTCAACACCCTCTGACTGCAAGGCCCAGATGGTCACCAAAATGACAGACACTACATAAGTATAGAATCATATTTGAAAATAACTAACAATGGTATCACAGCAAATAAAACCTTTCCAATCTATTTTTTAAAAAGTTGATATTCACCTAATTCTGTAGCCCTCCCCCACCATATTTACATTCTCCTACATTTACAACCATCATAAACTATGTTTTCTATATGGGATACATTTGAATTAGTAAGAAATTGAAGCAGGAGTTGTTTGTCAATAACTGCTTCTGGCTTACACTTAAACTCTAGAAAATTTTGATCTCTTCTGATTCATCACTTACTGGAACACGTGATTCATCCAAATCACTAATAAACCAGATCAAGTGAAATTACATGAAAAGTATTTGTTGTTGAAAAGTGTATTGTCAAGCAAGTTTAAACTTGCAGACACCCTCCTTCCAAATTCTTACAATCCATCTTGTTTAACAATAAAATCGAGCTGCTAAAGCAACTGCCATCTTTACTCAATTCAACTACATTCATGTACATGTTTCTTCTTCATCAGGAACAAACAATTAGTAACAAATGAAAGAGATCATTACATCAAGTGCCCTTTTAGATCACCCCAATTAAAACTTTAGTTTAGCTGTATTTTAATTCTAAGATACCAAATTCTAATTTTCTGCTCTGATTGCTCTTGTTGACTTATCTTTGAAAGATGTACTCTCAGTGCAAAGCCTAGAGATTATTTAGCAAGATGCCAATGTTGGCACCACTTAATGTGTTGATTGGTTGTATTATCAGTAGCAGTTTAAAATAAATTACTATTAAACTATTATTGTCCTTGGCTGACAAAACACAATATTTCGGTGTTCTTTAAATATGAAACAATTATTATGAATAAACATGGAGAATAATGTTAGTGTAACACTGATGTGTGTAATTTTATATTAAGAACTGCTGCAAAGTACGAAGCTGCTAAAAGCATATTACATTTTCTATTGAATTTCCACACCACACTTCCTCCCCCAACCTTTCCTTTTTTTATACTTGCTGCTAACGTAGCTAATGGTAATACATTACCTATTGCTACTGATTATGTCTGAAAAATATTAGCTTTTTGGAGCCAAGACCCACCAGGGACTACTTATAAGCTACACAAAATTAAGTTTCATTTTTAGAAGTTAAATCAGTGCACATCAGTAGGCATCCAATGTGAAAAAAAATCTGCACTAGAGCCAAACTGATGCATATGCAAAAGTGCTGTTGCTGCCAATGACAGCTCTAATGCAAAAATACTGGAAACATTCAATATCTCCCTGTATTCAATGCAGAAGGGGGTGAGAAAAAAAACCTAAAAAGTACAGCATCTAAAAATCATCAGTGCCCCTTGGAACAAGAATAGCAATTTCAGAGTTGCATGAAATTCTATTAATTCTCCCAGTGGATCAGCTGTAAAAAATTATACAAAATACAGTATGTCCAACTTGTACTTGCTATGACTAATCCTCTAACCTGATATTAAATCAATATGCTGCCAATGACAATGGAAAATGCAGTGCAACACAGGACATTAACAAAAAGAAAATACTTCCCTTTAGGGAAGGTCAGATGTTATGGAGGCTGGATAATGATAATTGTAGTGAACATGCTCAGGTTCCAGATTTCTTTGTAATATAGCATGGCTCTATCTGGAGCTAACCGTTAAAGATGGCATGCCATTCTTCCCCTCTGTGTCACTGTTAATAATTTTTTTTTTATTTCAACATAATGTCAAAAATGGACATTTTTCCCCTGGAGATTTATAGATAATTTTGATTTGTTTTTTTTACATCAATGTATTTGTTTTAATATTTCCACTGATAAAGTCTTCACAAATGTCCCAAATAAAGAAGGTGATACATGGTTGATGTTTCTTCCTGTTCTCTGATGTATCCAAAACCACCATCATGTTAGGGTAGTCTACTCATCCTATAGAAATTAAACATATACCAAACCTCAACTCAGCCTTAAAGCCAGTATTATCCATCATTATTTTTTAAAAATGCAAATAACGTGTTGCCTATTTCGAAAGGGGTGGATGGGAAGGTATATAGAAGGTCTATCTCTTTCTAGCTCTTTCTAGCTACACCTACAGTGTGTTCTACCTAACATAATTTAGTTAGCTACAGTTGTATGCGACATCAAAATGGCCTTACTAGCTAGTCCAGTGGTCTATCGAGAAGATCATATCCTGTTTCCAAAAATCACTCAGAGTGAGTGAAAATGAAAAATCAGAAGAGCCAGGCATGCACACAGTGAAGCTTTCCTAGTCAAACCTCCCAGCTTTTAGAGATTTGTGGCTCAGGGGCTTCCTTTTGCAATATTAGCTATTCATGGTGAAAACACTTTCAAATAACACAACTTCTCCTTTAGTCAGGAAATTATACATAATTTGCATGCTCTCATCATTAAAACTATCTGGTGAAAGGCTTGCAAAAAAACCCAATATATACATTTTTAGTTCACTTCACAGGTTAATTTTTTAATATTTGCTACTTGTTACTGACTACTGACTTAGTAATGTAAGCAAGGTAAGATAACACAGCTTGACTATCTCTACAAATAACTCCAGAAAGACATTTTTGTAATATCTCAGATTGAATATCTCCATCACAGCTAAAGGCATATTGCACAAGCGTAAATGACATTTTTCCGTTAATACTTTCTGTGAAAAATAAAATCATTCTCTTGAATTTTAGCAGAAGACAACTAAAATAACATGAAATAAAACTGTGATTTCTACTTTAGCCAGTGTTTGCAATATTTTTCTCTTGTGTATTTAGTCATAGATGGTAACCGTGCAGGAGACTCACAGCAATAAAGGCAGTAGTTTGCTTTGTTTTCATAGGGGAATTTAGTTTGCAATCATGCATTTCTTTTATTAATATCAATGGGATACTTGCAACTTATTTTAAATATCTCTTTAAAAACACTTAGCAACAAGACTGTGTCAATATGATAGCGTCTTGATAGAAAAATATAGCTATCAGGATGCAAATAATACATCCCTTAGATAATAATGGAAATTCAACTCAGGGACAGTAAAGATTCAGACTCTAAAAGCTTAAAAGAACATTACTATTACCCAAGAATATTGTAGCATCATGAAAGGCTGTAGCTGTAACGTACTTTGGCATAATCGGGCCATGACTCAAAAAGGTGAACTTAGCGAGGGGTATGGAAACATCTTTAGCCTTCTCACTAGCACCCTCACAGCATTTTGCTGAGACCCACCTTCCGTCACCTTTCATCCTCCCTGCAGCTACACAGACTTCCAGCATTTAATCTGGAAGAAACCAACAAAATATATTGAAAAGGAACAGACATATGACTTAATTTCAGCCCTCTGGGGAAATTTATTTCTTCTTCCTTTTAGATTTTCAGATATATGTCCAAATAAGAAAAAATGTCCCCAATCTCATTTCTTTATTTTATGTGTGTATCTGTTTAATTATATTTTGTTACAGTTTATTATTTGCATTTCAGCAGTACCCAGCAAGAAATAAACACTGATTGTTCTGCGCAATATATATTGTTATTAACTCATCTTTAAACGCACAAATAATTAAACGTACTTTTGTTTCAATAAGTATTTATGGAGAAGTAAGAAAAACATGATATACAAGGAAATAAACCTAACTAGTAGCCCCTGGTGACAGAGATAGCAAATAGGCTTGACTAACATTTGCCTAAAATTATGAATCAGTGATTAGGAGCTATTCGTTTAACTTTAGTATGGATGGAAGACGCAGACTCGCTTCTGTTTAGTGGCCAATTTTAAAGGATGATGAGAACTTCTAAAATGGATGTAAGGAGAGTTTGGCACTGAGTTCAATCCCTTCAGCTCTTCAGCACCTGCAAGAATTTTTAGCACATTTTGTTTTCAAATATCAAAAGCATTTAGAAATTTTTGCTTAAATACCCAAAAGCACTGTCCCCATGGCAAGGTTTAGGATCCTCCCTACTCTGACAAAGGTCAAAATTAGAGGTTTCAGTGCCCATATAGTACTCTAATCCTGTTCTGTTGTAAACCAGAACAGGCTCTACAACCTCTTCTGGAGGCGCGCAAGGTCTATATTACACAGATCCTCCATATCCTGCACTTCACGTAACTGAGTATACACAAGGGGATCACAGCACAGATATCTACCATCACATCCGTGCACAGTGGTATAGCCAGAGGATGCTTACCTATGTATTTATGTGACCATCATACCCCTAAAATATAGACAACCTCCAGGACCACATGCGGCAGGCCACGCGTGCACCCCACTCCCGTGACCTAACGAAGATGTACACTCGCATTTCACAAGCAGACATAAATCCTCTCTGTGAAAGCACGCATCCGTATTTTCATCATGCATGACCCTGGGGAAAAAGACCAACGACTACCAAAACCACTCATCTAGCCTTTGGCTAGATTTCTGCTATTTTCTGTTTCAAGAGCACCGCAGTACTGGAGGCGGGGAATGGACTGTAGACCAGATGATCTTTCCTAGAAGGTTAGATCTGCTCTATTGCTAGCACAGCTGCAACAAGAGAACGGTGAGGGATCTTACTGCTCCACCTCCCCTGAGAACCCACACCTCTGCACTCAAACGGATGCAAAGGAGAGCAAAGAAGAATTTACCCAGTGACAAGAGTCCTTCTGACTCAAGTTCCAAAGGCATGATGGGTTTCAGGTAGTGTGTGCGCATCTCTTAGCAAAGTCACAAACCATACTGCAAGCAGGGACCATAGCACGGAATTGTCTCCTTCCACAAATCCCACTAACGAGTTTGAACTTGTAGTCAAATAGCTAAAATTCAGCTCTGAAAGTGTCAGTATCACAGTATCTAACTCATTTGTGGGCCTGGGGTAGCCCCATCTCATGGCAGTAATCGCTAAATATGGAAACCATTTAAAATGGCGTCGATTAGAGAAACTGCCACTATTGTGCATGGGTTATTGTAATAGACTCTGCTGTTTTAAAGAGAATATTTATGTTTTTCTACACAAGTGGGAAAATCAAACTAGTTGAGTTTTTTTTTTTTTTCTAAAGTGGTTTTCAGCGTATTCCTGATAGAGTTTAAATCTAGGGGCAAGGGGAACCTTGAAGATATATGAAGGTATATATACCTTGACAGTATATGAAAGGATTCTCAGAGATCTGTGAAAATCATGTAATGCGACACAGGGACATATTAAAAAAGGTGCAAAGAGACTTACGTTCCACCTGTTCACTCTGATAGGTAATTTTTGTGATGTGGAACCTCAAGGTAAGGAGCAGTAAGTACGAAAGCACAATGAGAGAAAGCACAAAGAAGTCGCTGGTTTCTTTACAATGTTGCCTTTAATTTTAGCTCTTCACCCCAGATAAGATTAGTGTTGTGTTGTGTTTTTTTTTTTTTTAAAAAAAAGAAAAAGCAATGACTGAATTTTACGTTCACATTTTCTGTAAAACAAAACAATGCATTCTTGGCAAATTAATCCTGGTCATTTATCCTGAAGTAGTGCAGCACTCTCATATTCAATCACAAGATTAGCTAACCTGTTGATGCTGAATGCTTTGCTCATTAGATTGCTGTCTAGAGACATTGAGTGCACACATTCGTCAAAAAAATTACTAAGAACTTTCCTGTACATGCATGCACAGCTAAAACATTACATACGTCGCTAACTGTATTTCTTCCCTTTAGGAAAAAGTACATTCTTTACAGATTGCAGATCTGTTAGGAGAATGCTAACTGTTGTAGAATTACTTTGGATTATGATTTAAATATTTAAGATCCTGAGTTTCAGAACCACAAAAAGCAATCACAAATATGCTCTTTCAGACCAGGCAGATACAGCAGTAGTTAATTCTTAAACAGCAGTATTTTTTCATTGTTAATCTAAAAACATCATCAATGAATGGCTTATCTACTTTTCATAAAACAAGTCTGAAGTGCCATAAACTTTAATGAGATTGCTTAAGGAAGTAAAGTGAGCAGGATTTGGCCCTACTCTGTCATAGCTTTTGCTGAATAGAATACAATTGATTGGATGCATTGCAGGAATTAGTCCGGAAGAATACTGTGAAAAACACATTAGAAGGTAGTAGCTGCACAGACCAGGCTCATTTGGAAGGAGTACAATATGGCTGCGTTATTTCTTGCACTATCATTTTCCTTCTCCGTGCAGCATACAATCATATTGTTGCAAAATTTACATCTGGGGAACACATGATCACCAAATTTGTGGACCAAAAATTCTTCATTCTAATGTGAAACACTAACATCTTGGCTCCAAGCTACATACTAGTGTACACCTTAAATAATATCTGAATCAGGCTGTACTGTACACACAATAGACATCATGACTACCGAATAGGAAATCTGCAGAAAATTTGGTAATACCCTTTGAAGTCTATTCTTTGAAGACAGTACTTTAAGTGAAATGAGCTTATTTATAAAAGAAGTGCTTTTCGTGAACGCTTTTATGGGAGACACATTTCAAACAGCTTTAAATATCATTTCCACCTTGGCACTCCAGCAATTTAAAATAACTATTTATTAAAGAAAGGTTTCTCTGCTTAGTAAATGAGATAGAGTTAAACAGTAAGATACATTTCATTAGCCTGTAATAAAAAGAGCATTTAAGACAAATGTTGTTAAACATACCAATGTAATTTTCATCGAATTCTCTGCTGTGGTTTAATACACAATCTGTATTTTTATGTACTGTATCTGACAGCTTCTAAATTCATTTGTTTGCTATGGTTCCTTTAAAACCTAAATTACTAGAAAGTTTCAGTAAATTAGTTGATCCAAATAATCTTATGAACTGATTAAGCTGGAATGGTTGTATTAATTTAGACAAATCTGCAACTGGCTCCTCTCCATCCCTTTAAGCTGATCTACAGAAAGGCCTACCTGGATGTTAGTCAGGAGGGTCTCTATGGAGGACAATCCATCAGGGAATAGAAAAGGAGATGGAAAACCCGGAGGTAGTGGTTGCCCATGCCCAGTTAGAGAAAGTTTGTCAAGGCTGTCTCTTGCGGTTGGTGTGGAGAGCGGGGTCTCATCTGTATGTGATTGAAACAAAAATATAGAACAAGTTACGCTTGTCTGTTTTTATTAGACCTCAGTAATGGCTTCCCTAGTGGTTTCCAGAACATTTATTGCAAATTGGTTCCTGCTATCAGGAGAAAATGCTTTCTGCTGAATTTTCTTTAATGAAAAAGCTGTGGAGATACAACAAGATAACATTAATGAGTAACTTTATAAGCCTTTTAAATGCAGTCTCTAATGAGACTGAGTTTACAGTGCCATAGAATCTTTTTAAAACAAATATTATCTCACATATACTTGTGATAATATATTCAGGCTGACTTTATGGGCACCTTCCCAATTATCTCATTTTAGTTTGTGTTCTATTTGGATTGACAATAGAATATTTTCTAGCATGACATATATTTTGTATACGAGAAGTATTTGAATACAAGGCTTCCCATACAATTAACCCTTCCCGCTCTTAATGGTTTCACTTACAGCTCAGCAGATTCTGCAACACCGAGAAAAACTACAGCTCCTCAATGCAGTTTTAATGAAGGAAGTACACCTGATTCCCACAATTGAAACATGCTCTGAACAATACATGAAATTAACAGCATGGTTACAATCACTGGCCTAATTTTTTTAAGCATGGACATCTTCTAACAATTAGTGCTAAACTCCTTAGTGGGATCTTTGTAACAATCAGATCTGATCAGTTCTGACATCACAACGGGAAAAAACTCCCACAGCTTGAAGACTTCTAAGATTAAAGTTTCACAGATAATCTGTGAATGGATTATAAAGTAAATTAAGAAAACAACAACAACAACAACAACAACAACAAACAAACAAAACACACAATTAATAGAAACTTCAACACCCTCTTGTTTTTTTTTTTTCTTTTTGAAATATTTTTAGACTACTGTTGATATGATACAGAAATTTAGGTCAATTTCTTTGCACCAGATGCTAATCTGAATTCTTCAAAAGGAAAACTATCTATACATAGATATAGATACATATATCTATACATACTTTCTTACCAAGGGCTCTGTTATTAACTGACACATATTGGTGTATCTCAATACAGTACAAGGACATCAGAATGTACTCTTGGTGTTATGTAGATCTCTGCACAGCTATCTGACTACACAAGAGTTTGTCAGACTTGCCCTTTTCCATTTGGGCTTTGATCATAATAAAGTACATATGTTTTGGGTTATTTTAATCTCTCTTTCTTTCTGCACTTAACTATAGTTTCAACAAATTGTTATAATTCTCTATTTATCCTATCATGTACACTAGGAGTTGTATTAAGTGAAAGTTCTCATCCTAGTTGCCTAAGAAGAGCTCTGTCTTCGACTAGGGTGCAGTATTTTCTTAAGTGGACATAGTCTAGGATGAGGAAAACTGAAATCTGCAGCAACAAAGGATTAGAGCGTAGGCTTTGATGACCCGAGGACCAGAAAGCCTAACTCAAAGTCCCAGTTCATTCTGACAGTCCCCATCCACCATTACTCCAGCAGGAAACAACCTCCATCAACCATGTTCAGGTGTGGATTTCTTGCCCCATCTCCTCACCAGCTCCACCGTGCTGGCCAGTATTTACAGTGTTAGAGTAAAAGCCGCACCCACTCTGTCCCTCCACAGAAATACCCAAAGCTATTCTTCCTACTTCACTGTGGCTCAGGCTGAGAGTAGCCTACAAAAGGAGTAAGACCCCCTTTCATGCCCTCCGTTTGTCACAATTTGTGTTGCAATTACTGCTTTCCCATAAAGTCATCATTTGTGAAATGAATTGATGTTGACCAAGGAAAGCTTCAGCCCATTCAGTCATAAAAGATTTTTTCAACTATATTTAAGTTTTCCATTCATGTCACAAAGTGCTGAGAAAAACTGAACTGTTTCTTATCTACCTTACTGAGATTCAAAGCAGACTCTCAAAAATGTACTCTGTGGATCTTTCCTCTGTCCTTGTACTACCTCACAGCGACATGGATATCTCTGTAGTTGTTTTGTAGTAGCATAACAAATTTGGCCCTAAATCTGAATTATTTCTTTTGTTTCCAACTTCTAAAATATTATAGAAATACTCGCCAGTTCATTAGATAAAATAAATTAGGTATTGCTGGGTACTGCAAACTAGCTTATTTTTCTCAGATCATCCTGCTACTTAATCTTCTCAAATTCTATTCCAGTATGAAAAAGCATTACCAAATGTTTTTTTCCAAAAAGCTGCCAGAATTGTTATGCTTTCACTAATCAAAAGAAACAAATCAAAACAAAACCAGTTAGACATTAGATTGATAAACACTACACAGTATTATTGAATAGCTGAAAATTTTTTTTCCTCTGCTGCAAATATGGCTTCCCCAAATTATTCCTACCAAACATTTAAAATAATAAAAAAAAATTACAAAATCTTTTCTGAGTTTTTTGGCTAAAGATTTTTTTTTTGTAATAGTGTTTCCAGTGAAGGTAGTGGATTTGTATGATATAGCAAGAAAGATTCTAATCACTAGTATGCATGGTGGAGTTGATTCATAAAAATGAGAAAGTAAACTAAAAAATGACATCATTTGCCTCTAGGTTTGCCAGAGAAATGGACCGATGACCTCTCATATTTTCTAAGACAACTTACAATTTTACTAATATTTTAAGTCTCAATTTGTCAAAATATTTTAGTACATACTACATAAAATTGACCCACTGAAAAATTCCTTATGCCTTAATTCGCTTAAAAACTATGATCTTCCTTGCAATTGTTGAGATACAGAAAGCTCCTAACAAAGGTCTTGTCATAGAATTTAAGCAAGAGATTATATTTTTTACTGTATTACTATTTTAAAATTAAATACAGGTTAAGTTTGCTGCACTTTTTGCATGCTCGAAAGATGTGAAGTTTGTAAAGATTTTCCTAACAATGTGTGGCATGGTTTTGCAATAGGCAAAGTAACTAAAAAAAAAAAATAAAAGTTATGCAGAACAGTATGAACTCAAAATAACAACCAAACTCTTATGTTATAATAAATAACAGAAACAAATTTATACTGAAGGGTAAGACTAGAGAGCTGAACTTACTATGAACTTATTTTAATGAAACGTCAACTCAGAAAAAAAGTCAGACTAATGTGACTTTGTTTTCTTCAAGTCCCATGTGAAATAAACTTTGAGTGTGAGTATGTTTGAAACAGAGCAAATGTACATATTATACACAGGAAGCATGGATATTTGTGGATGTGAGATAAGCGATGATTGAGGGAATCTTGAAAAAACGCATTTTTAAGAAAAGCCGCATTGTATACACAGCCAATTAAAACAGAACCACATATCTTAGTAGCAAAATAATACGACCTCTTGCAATTAAGGCATTTTAAAATCTATTCCTGCAGAAGTCCTCTTTTCCCAATACGATGATATAGCTTTGTTTCCAAATAATCATTAACCTAACATCTTTTAAACTGCTGCAAAGGAACTACTAATGTTCCTCCTAACCTACTAGCAGAGCAATGCTGCAAAAATGATGAGCCCTTGCTGGGAAACATTTGGCATTTTCAGTCCGAACGCATCAAAGGAAACATTCGAAGACAAGTCAGGGCAAGAGGGGAAAAAGGGTCAATCTACAACTCCATTGTCAGAGTTGGGAGCACAACAGTGTAAAGAAAAGGGAAAAAAAAAAAAGAAAGAACAAGGCAGAACAAAGAAGTGTCCGGGCCTGCCTTGGCTTGTGGTGGGAACTGAGATGTTATAAATTAACAAATAAACAAGGATGAGACAAGCTGCTACCCAAGTCTCTACAGTATCTGAGCAGAGATGAATATGTGCCTTGACATATGAACTAAATCACCATAATAGGCAAGTCTGAATGCAACATGTATCTTTAAAACATTTGTAAATGCTACATCCGCTCCATCCATTGTTCCTCAATTTCCAAAATTCACCTGTTTTTGTTCAAAGCAGATTTTATCTGCAAACAGCAGCTGGTTTGGGCCAAATACAATGAACATTTTTCACCTTATTTGGTTTGTTGCCATTCCATTTTATTCTTTCACCAGATAACATGGAAACAGACATCGGGGAAGCTGTGACAGCTATTTAAACAATAATAGATGAATAGAGGTAGCCATTCTCTTGTCTTTGTTCCTAAAAGCAAGTAGGATAAGTTCAGATCGGTCACCAATCAAACTGGAGAATATTGATATTGTCAGGATTTGAAAGCAAGTGATAATAGCTGGCTCCGAAAAATACTACACAGATTACTGCCTTTCCATAATCATTTAATGTTATTTTTGTAATGCATCTTGATGGTTTTTGTTCTCTGTAAAATATTTCACATCTATTTGTTCCTAAACCAGTCTCATTTTTACCATCTGAATGATTAAAGAAGATCGATCCTGTCTTCACTTTTTACTCTCATAAATCTGGTGCACTCATTTTTGTGGAAACAATCTATTCCGTTTGGCTTAATATGATTTTGGTTTATGTTGTCAAGCACACTTCAGTACAAAGTTTTGTATTTCACCTTCCTCGGAGTTCTTCTGTTTTAATTCATCTGTAGTTGTTGATTTATATTAACACAAAAGAACAGGAGGTCCCATGTGCTGAACTGAAATGTTTACTAACTTCATGCAGATTAGAAAAAAAAAATAATAAAAAATTATCTTGCTCAATTCCCATAATATTTGGCTGTTTTATAGATTTCGTCATTCAAGATTCACCCTGCACATAACTAGGGGCAATGTGAGATGAATGTGAAGGATGTTACGAACTGTAAAAGGAATGTACTAAAACTCTTAACATTTATTTTTTCAATCTACATTTTGGTGTCTTTTATGCTAAAAACAATTCTCAGGGACATTCAAATACTCTGAAATTAAAATATTCACAACTGTGGCAGCTGGAAATAAGGGGAGAATATCAAATATTCAAATAGATTGATTTGCTGGTTGTTGTTTCTGTAACATTTAAAAGAGGATGGTGCTTTCACAGTTAACAGTACCACTGTGAATGTTGTCCACCAAGTTCTGTT